GACAAAACGTAATAGCTTAGATTGATCACCTTTATTACCTGCATTCTTAGCAATATTCAATATCAAGTAGCACAGTACTGGGTTCATTGTAAACTACTCAACCAAGAGTTTGCAAGCATATGTGCTCAGAGACTCCAGATGTTGAGGAATGTGCTTGTGTCAGAATGATACTGAGTTTTTATTGGTCACATATACATATGCACAGCGAAATTCTTTTCTTCACATTACTCAGCATGTCACGAAGCAGGGGTCAGAGACAAGGGTCAGCCATGATACAGCACCCCTGGAGCAGAGAGGGTTAAGGGCTTTGCTCAAGAGCCCAACAGTGGAAGCCTGGCAGTGTTGGGGCTTGAACCCCTGACTCCGATCAGTAACCCAGTGCCTTAACCACCAATCCACCACAGAATGACAGTATAATTTCAAGCAGGCAGGAGTTCAAAAGTTTTCGTGGCCATATATGAAAGACAATGCCACCCTAATGCAGTTTAAAATGTAATAAATTGTAGCATCTGGAATATAATAGCCCATCATCCCTAAACCTATGCCACAAAATATTTATTTATTTAATTAATGGGTTGGACAATTAAAGAAGAAATTATTTGACTGTGTGACTAGTCCCTTTTAATAAAGACAGGGGAGGGGAGGACTCACGAGAACAGGTGCACTGCATCTACATGCTGTTTTATGTGCTGCTGTCGGTATTTCGCGAAGTCTCGCAGCATGTCCAGTGGCATCACTCCGATTGGAATACGGTCCTTGTCTGTCCATATTTCCATAGCAACCAGGACCACACGTGTTTTCAATTGTTCTGTAAAGACCTAAAGACAGATAAAACCAGTAAGTGAAAAGGAAAATAGTGATGAGAAATAAAAAAGGGGGATTAGGGCACAGAGCAAGCAACTTTATTAGGAACACCTGTACACCTCCTCATTCATGCAATTATCTAATCAGCCAATCATGTGGCAGCAGTGCAGATACTGGCCAGCAGCTTCAGGTAATGTTCACATCAACCAGAATGGAGGAAAAAATGTTATCTCAGTGATGATTGTCTGTGGCATGATTGTTGGTGTCAGATAGGGTGGGTATTACAGCATGTTACACTATTTCTGTAACTGCTGATCTCCTGGAATTTTCACGCACAACAGTCTCTGTGTAACAGAGTCTATACAGAATGGTGCAATAAATAAAAAACATCCAGAAGCAACAGTTCTGCATATGGAAAACACTTTGCTGATGAGAGAGGTCAACTCAAAATGCCAAACGGATTAGAACTGACAGAAAGGGTACAGGAACTCAGATAACCACTCTGTACAATTGTGGTGAGCAGAAAAGCATCTCAGAATGCACAACACATCAAACACTGAGGTGGATGGTCTACAATAGCAAAAGAGCATGACTGGTTATACTTCTGTCAACCAAGAACAGAAAGCTGAAGCTGCATTGGGCACAGGATCACCAAAACTGGACAGTTGAAGACTGGAATTTTTTTTTGTATTTTTCAGGTGCACTTTCATGCTGCACATCTCCCGTTCTACCACATCCCAACGGTGTTCTATTGGATTCAGATCCGGTGACTGGGAAGGTCACTGAAGAACAGTAAACTCATTGTCATGTTCATAAAACCAGTTTGAGACGACCTTTTCATTGTGACGTGGTGTATTATCATGCTGGAAGTAGCCATTAGAAGATGGGGAAATTGTGGCTATGAAGGGATGTCAGTTGGTCTGATGAATCTCGATTTCTGGTGAGGCACACAGATGGTAGGGACCGAATTTGGCACCAAACAAATCCATGGAATCCATGGTCCAAACCTGCCTTGTGTCAACAGTCCAGACTGGTGGAGGTGGTGTAATGGTATGGGGAATGTTTTCTTGCCACAATTTTGGCTCATTAATACCAATCAATAATTGCTTGAATGAAATTTGAGAATTGTTACTGACCATATGCATCCCTTCATAGCCACAATTTACCCATCTTCTAATGGCTACCTCAAGTATGATAATGCACCATGTCATAAAGTAAAAGTTGTCTCAAACTGGTTTCATTAACATGAAAATGAGTTAAATGTTCTTCAGTGGCTGTCCCAGTCACCAGGTCTGAATCCAATAGACCACCTTTGGGATGTGTTAGAAAGGGAGATTCGCAGCATTAAAGTGCACCTGAAAAATCTGCAGGAATTTGCAATCATTTCAACATGGACCAGAATCTCCAACATCTTGTGGAATCCATGCCATGAAGAACTGAGGCTGTTTTGAGAGCAAAGGGAAACCCTACCCAGTGTTAGTATAGTGCTCCTAAAAAGTGCTCTGTAAGTGTATGTATGTGTATGTATGTGTGTGTGTGTGTGTGTGTGTATATATATTATATATATATATATACATAAACACACACACACACAAGGTATCCTACTTATAATGTTATTTTAAGCATACTGCAGAATAGAAACTTAACAGTGTATTTAAAAAAAAAAGTACTAGTAACTTACAGCATCCACCAGATTGACCACTGACTTCGCAAAGTTACGGGTTTGCTGCTTGGTCTTCTGTCTTTTAAACTGCACCAATCATATCAGTTTAAAAAAGAGAGAAAGATTAGAAACCTGTCCAACAATAATAACATCAGCAGCAGCAATAACAATAAAGTCTATGTATTTAGGATTTTATGTTAATTTAGTGCTTTAAGTAAGTGCATAATCATCATAAATGGGAAGACCAATTAGAAGAATAAGAAAAAGTAAATGACATTTAAAATGAAGTACAAATGTAAAACACAAAAGTAACGACATGAAGATAATTAAACATTTTTTGTCTATTTAAAGAGGGCAGCTAATGAGTATTAAAAACATTAGGGAAAAGGCATTAATTAAATATTCTTTGGCAGTGATTCTTAAAGGCAAAATCCTGTTGTAGAGGCTACATAGAGGCTTTAAGAGTTCTCCTAGAGGGGAAAAATTGAAACACACTGATCATTTCTTGAACTTTTACCATTGGGATGGACTGCACTTGATGATTTGAAAAAGTTACACTTTCAAAACAGGGTTCCTCTAGTCATTTAAATGTTAAATCGTTATTGCATATTAAACCTCTCTGAATGGAAAACACTGTTGTAGGGTTATGTATAAAACCTTTACAGTTTCCCTCAAACAGACAACCAGAAGAACCTTTACTGACAAAGTGGTAAGAGCGCCCTCTTGTGGCCACTGCTTTCACTGTGCCTTACACTGTCAACCCCCAAATCTCATCTGTTTACCCCAAACCACACACCCAGAAACTTCTCTCAAACTGAAGGAATTCCAGCCTGATGGCTGTGGTTGTAATAAATTGGATCATGTTTCCTTAGAGAGTAAACAGCAGTGTGTGACTATTTACACATCCAGCTTTATTTACCTACACACAAACACACAGAATAAACCTTCCACCAACAAAAAACACACAGACATAAACACACACCATATTGTGGTCACTGATAATCATGAGTTCGATATACTTCATCTCCTCAAACACATTTCTTGGCATCTGAAAAAGAAAGAGATATAATGCAACAAACCAGAGCTGAGCCACATTTCAACACAGCACAAAAAAAGTTTTAAATACTTTGTTTTTTTAAAACACACCCTCCACTAAAGAGGTTATAAAATATTTCTGTAGTCCCCAGGGATGTGTGTTCTCATTTAGTTGTTTTTGGTCTTTTGTGTGGCAATATGTACTACCCAGTATCAATTTATAATGAATCATTAGGCAAGACTGACGTTATTTGTCCTACTTACATAGTTGGATTAAAAAAAATAGACTCTTCCAGTAAGAGAAAACAATCCTACAGTCTACCATTCTACATACAATTCTATAAACTGCAAGGTTTGCACATTTACGCTTGACCAATCCTGATTCTCCCTAAAGCAGTGTGTGTTTTGTTCAAGTGACATATCATACACAGAGTCTACAACAGAGAGCTGTTAATCAAGCATGCTCATTAGAATAGTAGGCCACACACTTATTAGAGCTGTCTGAAAACCTATGAAGTGAGTTTTTGAGCAAGGTTTTTAATCAGATTTCTTGGTTTGTATTCAAACTTTGCTGGATGTGAGAATAATTTATCATATGGACTGTTTTCATTTAGCATAGGTAATATTTTTTTTTATACTGCTGAGAACAGGCTTGCGCATTAATCCATAACCCACATTAAAGCCTTGTGGAGAGATGAGTAGAATATCAGGCGACTGATATACATGCTGGCTATTCTGTTCATGCTATAGTCAGTTTTCCTGTGGGAATGCCACGCATGTGTGTCACTGACTAGAGTTCTGCTGGGTGTATGTGGGCTCACGGTGTGGGGAAAGCCCCCACCCAGACTCACAGCACGCTTTTTCCTGCGCTGCAGCCAAGCCATGTCATCCAGCTGGCCCTCCTCATCTACACACACAGACAATCACAAATATGTTTTATTTTGTACTGTCACTAAGAATATAACTGTGCTCTATTGTTGCCAGCTTATTCTAACCTTTATTTTCAATCTGATCCGTTTCCCACAAATTCAGTGACACATTGGTGGGGTGCTGTGTAGGTAACTAAGTAACATGTAAACCAACAAATGCTACCCTTTTAGTTGCACACACATGTAATTCATTCATTTATCTTTAGTAACATCTTCATCCTGGTCAGGCTTGTGTTGTATCCAGAGCCTATCCTGAAAACACTAGGCACAAAGGATGCACTATGCAGTTTTACTGAATACGTTGTCCCTGTGGACACTTGACAACATCCAAAAGAAAATGTTTTTGCTATTGATATCAGTTTTTCATTGGTATGTGTACATGTACAATTTTCTTTCATGTTTATGAGCAACAAGTTTGTTTTTGTCGAATTTTATCTACTCTTGCTAGCATTCTTTCCATCTTTTTGTTCATATTTTTACATTTGATGGCATTTGGCAGACACTCTTATCCAGAGTGACTTACATTTCTTTCATTTATACAACTGAGCAGTTGAGGGTTGAGGGCCTTGCTCAAGGGTTAGGATTTGAACTTACGACCTTATGATCAGTAATCCGTCAGTAGTCCAACGTCTTAACCACTGAGCTACCACTGCCCCCACTACCACAACAGCTACCACTATTTGATGGAACATGAGCGGTCTTTCTTCTAACCATTTTTCCTGTTAACTGCAATACGAAGTAGCAAAATGCAAAAGACTGTAGGAAATGTAAGGGCATGATGTATTGCCCATCTGCAGTAGTTTGATGCGCATAGATAAATATGCTATAATTAACCTGAACCATAAAAGTAGGCCAAAACTGTGTTTGGAGTATACCTGCATCCTTGGGGTTATGAGGGCTTAGAAAGCTGGCCATCCTCTGCAGTCTATGGGGTCTAGCAGCGATATCCTTAAGCACAGACATTGCAATTTGGACAGATGATGCACATACTAACTTCCAACAAAGAATACTACAATTCTTTCATTACGTAGTAATGTTTATACCACAGCACTGTTGAATTCTCAATTCTGATTGGTCAGAAGGTGCTGGTAAATTTTCTAGGACATCAGCTCTGATAGTATTGGCGATTTGTAAGGCCAACCACAGTTTTTTGATAATACGCTCATTTTAATATTCTATTGTTTTTTTTCAACTCACTCACAGGAACTTGTATGGCAGATGCTCTACATAATCTAAAACTAATAATAAATAGACTTTAAAAACCTCCTATTATTTGTTCTGTGAACAAAGGAAAATATGTACTCGTTGATACAGTATGCTAAAGTTTTGTATCACTGATATCATGTGCTTTTAACATCTACCTCCTGCTTTGTAATGGTCAGTATGTTTTCTGCCACGTGAGAGACTTCAGGACAGAAGACTTTGCACTATTGACTTGAGCAAAAAAATAGATAGGCTGATAAGGGGACTACTGTTTTATAGTTGTTATAAATGTTAATGTTAACAGGAATTAACAAGCTTCGTGGATTTTTCACACTTACTCTAGTACTCTAAAGTTACTCTAAACTGATAAACAAAAACCATGGAGTATCGATCCTTAATTAATAATTGCTGTGGTATAAGAGGAATAAAAAAAACATTTGGGATGTATTGATATAGGAAGATATTCAACTTTGGGCTGTAGGATTCTCAGCTTTGTGTACCATCTTACCATTGATTATTTTCCTACAACAGCACACCCCCAAAGTTTTTTATTCTTTACATATTGAACATGTTTTATAACCAAGAACTCTCTGGGTATCACACAAATGGCAACACATTAGTACTTACAATCGAGTGTTTCATAGGCTCAATAAAATACACATAAACGCCATCATCAAACATGCCACTGGCAGCCACAGAAAGAGAGAAGAAAAATAGCACTGAGAGGCAGTAAAAGCACTTCTTTAAAGTGTTTTCTTTTATGAAGTGTGATTCTAACAAAGACTAACTGTTGTTTTTATACTCACTGCAAGCCGTCACAAGTTGACAGGGCTACACGAGATGCTATATTCCCTCTCACCTGGCCACGGTAATAACAGTGCTCTCCACCCTGAGAACACACACACACAAAATCACACCTCTTAATGCAGGTGGCACCTTAAAAATCTACATCACAATCTTACGCAGATAATAAATCTTCCACACAAATGATCCATAAAACTGCTCAAATCAAGCTGTAATTCAAATAATCTGTGAGTGCTTCACTGAGGCAGGCCAAGCCGGGTAAAAATAGCAGGAAACATAACAGTGATTAGAGAGTCTCCAGTATAAACGGGAGCTTCTTTATTTCTCTCTAGACCATTGTTCTGTAGAGCAGATTTATGAGCTGGGTTTTAAACCAGTCGATTAATTAGAGAGGTCCTAGTAACACAGTAGAGCCAAAGACAAGTGGAATGTGGATAAAATGGGAAATTCATAGTCAAAATAATATGCAGGTTTAAAAATACTCATAGCCCTGAAACAGTGAGTGTAAAAAAAATCGCTGAACAATAAGTAGGATATACGAGTAGTTTAAGGACTAAGCAAATTAGATTATGTGAATAAAGGCTGTATGTTCTAACCACCTTCTACAATATTTCATAATACCATTTTTCAAAAGTGTTTCTTCAGCAATACATGTCAAAGTTGCTCTTTATGTCCTGAAATCCTTGATAGTCAGGTAAATATGGACAGAGTGATGCTGTCATCTTACACTGATATAATTAGGTAAAGGTAATATTTCCTGTGCATAAAGATGAGAGTATTGGATGTGTTTATTTGACATTGCAGTCACTACACCTCATCATTCTCTCCTCTCCCACGCTGCCAGATTTCCCACACTGCATTATTCCTGCAGAGCAATATCTGATAGTCATGTGATCTGAGCTTCAGTGCTGCTGAATCAGTGACTAATCATTTAGTTCTCACCTCACTCAGCTCACATCTCTATCATTCTTTTTAATGCAGTTTCTCTTCGAGCTTCATTTTAGCCTCTCAGTCTTATATGTAGATGTAGTTATTTGTCTTGATCAGTCAAAGTAATACATTACAGCCTCAGCTCTTAACTGATTGGGGAACAGCAAGGTTTTTTTCTTAGCTTGCATTTAGTTGCTATTTTTGTGGTCAGAAAGAATCACTTACGCTTGCATTACCACCTGCCGAGACCAGCATTAGCACATGTGCAATGCAAGAACAGTATTATCCAGTATTATTAACAGTATTATTCATTACACATAGGTCATATAAATGATTTTTTAAAATTCTAGTTAGTAGCAGACTTGCCCAATTTATTGTCATCATAGAGATATTATCAGCCCATATTACACTATAAATGAACATTCATGAAAGTGTAGAACAAGACAGAAAACAACTTAGTCATAAATTTGCTCAGTTAGTTAGTTATTTGTACAACTGAAACAGTGACATGGAATCTTCCCTTTCCTGAGCCACTGGTGAACATTGTGTTTTTTATGAGAACAAGAGAATGAGAACAGTTCATCTGACTGGACATAGGAGCAAAATACTGAGTGCTTCCTTCATTCTAACCAAACCCATTTTTGCAATTACACCACTAATGCCTATGCTCATGGTCCAACAAATTACAAGAATATGTAAGACTGTGATCTTATTTTTGTGCTTGGGCCATGTTCACAAAAGGGAGCCTTCAGCCTATATATATATTTTTTTATATTTGCATACTCTCTCTCTTTGTCTCTCTCTCTGTCTCACTCCCTCTCTCACTCACTCACTCAACAGTTTTTATGGGTTGTTTTTTTTTGTTTTTCATTTTTCCACTCTCTGTTCTCTGATCCAAACTTCCTGATTTCAAAACTAGGCATAATAACACTGAATTTGAAATGAACAGCTCACCTATTACAACTTTAAATGGTAAACTGGTTGTCTGTGCAAAAGCTGCAAACTAAAAAAAGCTGGTATGATAAAGGTCACTGGAGTGAAATCAGCAGGCTGTAAGAATAAAGCACTACCTTAGACATGATAGGTTTTCCTTCCTCATAGTGAATCTCCACATAATCGGAGGATAGTAGGTCACTGTAACACAGACAGAAAACAAGTATTATGACTTCCTACAGCTGTGGGTTTCCTCTGCTGAGTTACGATATTGCAGCGCACAATATGAGCATCTCCAGTGCAAGACAATACAAAAAACACTATAGAGGAGGGTTTTGACAGCACTGGGTTTCTTGTTTATGTACATTAACACTAATGCATTGTCATCGATCCCCTTTATCCATGAATGGGTCACTTCTATTTTACAGCCAAGAGTGGGATTTTTCGATAATACCTAAAACAGCAGATAGCAGCTAAAACACACATGCAACATCTGCTGAACATTAAACATGAATATTTTGTGCAGAGGGTTAAATGTATCCTGGATATTAAAGGTATTACTGATTTATTATCAAATAAGCACACTGTATATAAGGACTAAACAAAACTTTAAATTCTCATAGGTACTAAATGTCTGCAGTCTTTTTGATCCAAGGCCAGTTACATTTTACTGAAAGCATAGTTACTATATATTTGACATTCCACTAATCTTTAAATATAGACATCTACATATTATTGTATACCAATCTGTGTTGCAGTGCCACAATCCTTGAACTGATAAAATGTAAATAACACTAACCAATCATGGTTTCCATTGAGCTCACATTTAAAGAAGTTAGAGCTCTCCTGAAAGAGTGTTTGACTACCTAATGGTGTTCTATAAAACAACAGTTTTAAAAGAAATAAAGTGGATAGTGTGTGATAGGAAGAACTAGTTATTAGGTGGGAACCTGTAATGACTAAATTGGTAGAAAATGTTGTACAAAAATGTACGCATGTATGCAAAAAAAAAAAAACCTAACTTGCACAATTTCTATAACTGAATAACCACAGATGCTTATTATATTCATACCTGTATCAACTGAATGTGCATAAAGGAGCTAATTTTACAGCATGGGTGTCCTGGTGATCTACCGCCCTGGAGCTTTTACTGCTAACAGACCTAAATCAAAAATTCATGTGCTACTAAAAGCATTGATTACCAGGCAGGGTCTGTCTGTCATGTCGATGTCTGCATGGCAAATACTCATCACATGAACTTCAGCTAAGCTCCCATTCCCTGATTACTAATGGAACTAACAGACATTGCAGTCTGGCTTCAGAGTTACGTCTGTGATTAAGATTTGCCACATGCCTGTCTTGATCAGGGTTTTGTTTAGTTTAAGCCTGATCAAGACAGGCTTGTTTAGTTTAAGCCTGTTTGCTCATTGCCTGATCATTTGTGTGCCTTAGGTTTCTGAGCATTGCCTAGCTTTTTGTTTGTCAGCTACAACAATTTTAATGAAACCAGAACATGTACTTGTATCTGTCTATCTGCAGTATGACAGAAGACTTCACCTGAAGAATCATGGAAGCAGTAGGCTTCAGCAAATTCCATCAAATCCTTTCTGCTCAAGGCTATGTGTTCGGCAAACAGCAACAGCAAAATTCCACCACCCATATAAAATTAGAAAGTCTTGCAGGTCATCATGATGTCACCCACATTACTTACCCAAGTTATGCCCATCCCAATAAGTATGGCAGCGATGTTTCCAAGTGTCAAAGTTAATAACTACAGTGTTCA